GGGGTGCAGAGACCAAAGCATCATCCAAGGACCATGCACGGAGAGGACCTAGGCCCACTGCTCAGATGTAGCAAATAGGCAGCTCTGTGTAAGGATTTCAGAGGCTATCTCAGACATGGAGTCTGTTACCTGCTCTTTGATCACTTCCCTGTGGTGGGGTGGCTTTGCCAGGCCACAGAGGAAGAGGATTCATGCAATCCTAATGAAACTTGATAGGCTAGGGTCAGATGGTAAGGAGAGAGGGATCCCTCAGTCTGTGTTCTAAGCAAGGGTTAAGTTGGAGAAAGGGAGGGCAGGTGGGACTGGGAGGAGACAAGGAAGAGGGCTACAATTGGGATATGCAGTGAATAAATCATAAAAAATAAAAAATAAAATAAAATAAAAAATGATATCCTGCCTGCAAGATCATGGTAGGGCAATAGGGTCACAAAGCTTTTGGGAAGAAGCAAACAATATCTGATTTGACTTAGGCACAAGAGAAGGCACAGAAAACAGAAACCCACTTCTTCTCACATGCAGGAAACCTGTGAAAACATAAAACATGTGAAAACACTGAACTGGAATACAGAGCACACAGAGAGAGAACCTGGTGCAGACTCTGTGAGTCAGATGAGATTTGAGCATGTTGATTTAGAGTGCTTTGTTTTCCTGGTGTCCTCTTCCCCTCTGGCTCCTATAATCTTCCGGCTTCTGCTTCTGTGGGGTTCCTAACTTTGCGGGAAGGAATTTGATGGAGATATCCTATTCAGGGCAAAGTATTCCAAGGTCTTTCACTCTCTGCATAATGCCTGGCTGCCTATCTGCATTTGTTCCCACTTGCTCAGGGAGGAAGCCTCTCTGACAATGGCTACATTAGACACTGATCTATGAGTAGACCAGGATATCACTAGGAGTCATTTTACAGAGACATTTTGACCAGTGTTACTTGGTTTTACCCTATGTCCTAGAGCTACTTAGTCTCTGAGTCTTCATCACCCAAACACTGTCAGGTATTGTGTCCATCCCGGGATTCTTTTCTCTTATAATTTGAGAAAATTTACTAATTGGTTGTCATAAGTCATTATTTATAGGTTCTCCCACTTACACAAACCAGTGAATGAGCCAGTTTGCAAATATATGGAGACTAGTACCATATTTATGCATATTGTAATTTTTGTTCTTTAGAAAAGAATCTATATGTAAACATTGCATTTAAAGCCACTTTTATAGCAAATTCTACTCTACTGCAATAACCTAATAACATCTTGCATCTATGTTGACAGTTATTTAATACTAATAACAAAATTAGTGCCAGATGCAAACTGTGTAGAACTTTATTTTTGTACCTAAACAAATTAGTGTTCTCACATGTTTCCTGCATGTGAGAAGGAGTGGGTTTCTGTTTTCTGTGCCTTCTCTTGTGCACTTTTCCTTCTGTTGGATTATCTTGTACAATTACAATGTGATAGTTTTTGTTTTGTCTCAATATATTTTGTTATATTTTATTATCTCTGAAAAGCCTGCTATTTTCTAAAGAGAGTCAGAAAAGAAGTAGAACTGCATAGAAAGAAGGTAAGGAGAAACTGAGAGGAGTAGAGGGAGGGAAAACCATTATCAGGGTGTACTAAGTGAGACAATAATCTATTTTCAATAAAAGAGATATGTAAATAAAACAATTACAAAAATAAATTAAATTAACAACATCAGTATGAAAATAATTAATGATAAATTCCATAATGTTGTAATTATTTTACGACACTATAGACTGCAGATATTTTCTTGAAAACATTTTGTCATATTGTATCTCAATAACAGAATCCTATGGGTGAAGTATTACTTTTATCTGCTCTTCCTTTTTCAGCAGCATTGCGTTTATACCTTGACACTGACTAGAAAAGGAATATTTCAAGCACCAAAATCAGTAAGCACTCTGAATTGAGGCTGATGTCCAGTGAAATAGTACCTAACCATGTATATTCTACATCCTATACTTACATAGTCTCTTGCATTAAGCCTCAGTATCTGCCATGAAACCTCAGTGCAGCTGACACATGAATCAAACAGATGGAAACAAAAATACAGCTTTATTAATGATGCAGCTGATTACAGAATCTGCTTTTAGATCTGTAGCCTAGTGTGCTTTCTAGCCCTTTGCTGTATAATTAGATAAATTTAATACCGGTCACGAACCCAGCTGGCATCTGCAGACTACCCTTGAGCCATCAATGCTAAACACAACCATTTGGTGGGCAGAGATATCTAAGGATAGGCATAGACAGAGTAGAGGCTAAGTCAGTCCTGCTTTGCAGTTTCTATCAAAATCAGAATAAATTAGTTCAAGTAGGGTGGCTTAGCAGAGAAAACTCAAGCAAACAATCACTAAATGAAGTCAAATCCACATCGTAGCTGTTAGATGTAACTGTTCTGTGTTGAATTACTGTCTTGATGTTCTATACAAGTCATCGTATGTTTCAAGGTGACTAGAGAAACACATTTCCACCTGCATTAAGATACCGGAAGAGAAAAAGCAAAGAGCAACCAAGAGTAAGCCAGATTATGTTTCTTTAGAGAAAGATTTTCCTAAAACACCACCGAGGTCCAAATCTCATCAGGAAAAATTGTTAGCAGTCACAGCTCACTGCATTGAAAACTGATAAATTTCATGTTTTCATTTAGCACTTCCATATTCAGGATTCATTTTATATTTCATTATCAAAAGTAGGGAGATTATGTGATAATCCTTTGTCATGTTATGAAAAAGCCTGATTAATTGAATTGGGAAGAAAGGCCAGAAACGTCAGTCCCTAAATATAAAGCACAGTAAATCAATATTCTACCAAATATCTACTTGAAATGGACAGCTCAAAGACAGTAAAAATCTCACACATAAGGCGTATCAGAGTGTACATTATAGTGTGAAGCAATCAAAGGGACCCTAACAGAAATGAGGAACTGGGAAAGCTAAATAATTCTGATTTTTTGTAACCAGCCATTGGGTTAATAACTTAGGGAGAGAAATTATATAGTTCTATTAATTTTTTTTCACCATTACATAAAAATAACATAAGAGAAATGCAGTTTCTCTTACAGAAACATGTCTACAATAATATCAAGGCACATACTGTATATAACAATATATAATATCTAGTATATATTAAGGAAAAATCCCACTTGAATATACAAGGTTATAAATTATTCCAAAACTTCACTGTAAAATCATGACCTTCACTTAAGAATCATATGTAATGAATGAATAAAAATAATATAAAAACACAGATTTTCTTGACTTATAACTGGTTTTTAGAAGAAACCACTGTTTTACTTATTGTCTACAACTCAGACAACTCTGAAACACTGATGTCTGAATTATTGAGGTTTTTTCCTCCAAATTCTAGGTTTTTTTTGCAAGGATGTGGAAAGTTTCATCATCTGTAATGCACTTTTTAAATCCTTGATGAAATGCCTAAAATAAGTACTGTGTCATTATAAAGTAATTCCAACTGGAGGAAAGTATTGAATGCGCCTTAATATTCTTTGGTAATGTGACTTTGCAGTACTTTTGCAAGCATCAATGCAGAGACACTTAACATTACGTGATTAACTTAGCATGTTTTAAACATTTCTGGTTTTATGGGACTAGCAATAAATCGGGATGTCTGCAAACGAGGCTGACGAAGAATAATCTCCATCTGCTGGACAGAATTTTTAAGGTTGTCTAATGCTATGTCCTTGTGCTAAGATGTCTTTTGCATTGAACTTCAACATATGAATCACTTTTAATCAGAGAAAATAAGCATGATAATCACATGCAAAGCAGCACAGGCTTGTAGTGAATTTGTTCTAATGAGAACTTAACTTCTGCTTATGTCAGATAATTTAGCTCTCAAAGCTATAACTGACTATTAAGCCAAAGAAAAGTCTAAGCAAATCTACAATAATTTCCTACAAGAAACTGGGGGGGGGGGGAACTGCCCTGTGACCTTTAAGTAGTCTCGTCGTTAAAAAGGTCACCCTTTCTCTAGAGCTACAAGTGCTCTCACATCACAGGCCTCATCAGTTCTGTCTGTGGAGAGCCCTTCAATTAATGCCAGGGATCATGATAGAAACACTAACAAAAACTCAATTCATCCAGCTATGTTCATTTGTTGAGCCTACAAGGTTAAATACGTCCAATTGAAAGGTTTTGGTGAATTTTAAATTACTTTTGCATACATTCTTCTATCCTTCAGACATTATTCAAAAGATCTGAATGGTGGTAACACTGCCACCAGACTCATTTTTAACGGCTTAATCCTTCCAAAGTACAAGAAAGTGAATCATCTTAAAAAAAGAAAAGGGAGTCTGCTCTCTTTTTTTGGTAATTAATTAATTTATTCACTTTACATCCAGATCACAGCCACCCGCATTCTCTCCTCCTTGTCCCATCTCCCCTCTCTGTTACCCCTCTTACCCCTCCCCTACTCCTCAGAAAAGAGGAGTTCCCCCTACCAACCTACCCCAGAAGATCAAGTCTCATCATGATTGAGGGCATCGTCTTCCCCTGTGGCCTGGCAGACCCACCAGGGGTGTCTGCTCTCTCTCTTTTTTATTTTTTTTTCACAATTTATTCATTATATATTCCGATTGAAACACCCTCTCTCCACTCCCCCAGTCCCACCCTCCTTATTCTTCCCCTTATCTCCTTCCCCTAGTCCACTGAAAAGGGGGAGTTCTCCACTACTGCCATCTGCCCAGGGCTTGTTAAGTCTTATCAGGACTTACCAGATGAGCCAGAATTATCTCTGTCACTGCATTTTGGTCCTAGCAGGTTGTTCTGCAGGTCTCATAGCCCATGTCTATGACGTCCCTGACATGTTAATCCCTTGCGTGGGAGCAGTTGGTAGAGTGGCCTGATGGCTTCAGGGTTTCAGTCTAAGTGAGAAGGGCAAGGGAAGGAGGTAGGAACTAAAAGCCAGGACTGGAGAAGGCACTGAAGTGACCAGTGAGCCCCTTGCAATCCACAAACTAGAGTAGGCTCAGCTATGGCTGTGGACTTTGAGGACCCCAAGAGTGGTTTCCGTCACTGGGAAGTGGTTCTGTTCATCAATGAAGAGGTAACAAGGAATGGCGGTGGCCCTGGCTTCTACCTGACCTTCATTTCACGGCCCTGGAAGGATATCGAAGATGGCCTGAAGTCTATCGTGGCTGATGCCCACGTACCGTGCACAGTCAAGCGGGCATGCGCCTGGAGTGCTCTGGCCCTAGGAGTGAGGGTGGCTACCAGGCAACGAGAAAAGCAGACGCGAAGAGTTCAACAGCTGAACGGTCAGGTCAAAGAGCATGAGGCAGCCACGTGGACTTTGGCAACAGACCTCCAAAGGCTGCGTGATGAACGCGACGAAGTGATCTCCGAGCTTCAAAGTGCAAGAGACAACTTGAAGCAAGTACTACGGGAGCGTAATATGCTGCAGAGGAGACTAGTTGAGTTTAAGCTCTCCGAGCAGCAACTCCTTGCTGAGTCACAAGATGCTGATTATCCAGGTACTCCGCCATGGCCTTCATTTGTCAAAAAACCTACAGAAGCTGTTGATCCAGGCTTGCAGAATGGGCAGTATGCAGCGTCCCGGAAGAAAGCACAAATGGCATCTACCAAAGGTTTACCAAGATCCCCTCCCTAGTCCTTGAGCATAGGCCCCACAGCCCCTCTCCCAGTGTTCTCTGCATCATTCCCAACGGCATTCCTTTCACCATCCAGAGAACTCAAGAAGAGGAAGATGGAGCTTCAACCACTAGCTCCCTTTTCTGCAGTTGACTGCATTTGGATCCCTGCGCTGGAGCCTGAGGGACCAAATTCATGGGCAAAAACTAATCGAGATATAACCAGGGGAACTGGGAAGCTTTGACCCAAAACAGACTCCTCACTGAATTTAGGGAGGGAAAAAATAAATGGAGGTATGTTCCAAAAAAAAAAATATGTATAATCATTTTCTGTGGCGCCTTTCCTAATATTTTCTTTCTTTTATTTATATCATAGAATATTTGAAAACTCATAGAATAAAACTTTTCACTATTCTATTACCAAGCAATAAAAAAAAGAAAATGAAAAAAAAAAGACATTCCATGAGAAATGATTTTTGTTTGTTTGTTTGTTTGTTTTCTTTACTTGAGCAGAAAATAAAAGCTTCCAGTTGCCTTTGTCTGGGATCACGGATTACTGATACAGGTTTTGCCCTTTTATGCTTTTGTCTTTGTCTTTGAAAACAGTATTTCAAATCAGGTGGACCTATAGAAAAACCAGTAAGGATGACTTTTAAAACATTTTAAGATATCAGTTACATAATTGATGGAATTCTGATAATAAAATAAGAGCAGATTTAACACCAAAAAAAGAATGTGGCATGCGGTAGAGAACAAGTTTTGAAGAACCTTGTTGAATTAAAATTATCATGTCATTTACTTATTTGATTCTCATTACAAAACATGGTATACTTAAGCATCAATCCTAAAAAGAATTCTTGAGTGTTCTTGAGTGTTCAGTGGGATAATAATGAACAAATATCAGAGTTGGTGATTTTGATGGATATAAGTGAGAAAATACTAAAAGTCAGGTATAGGCCTCCTCTTATGTTGTAGCAGAATAGAACATTTTCAATTTTCCAGAATGCATTACAATGTAATGAACTGCAACCACCTTTAAGGACAAATAAGCGATAAGCACATGCATACCAGAGCATGGTACAAAGGATATCATACCAGAAATTAATAATTTAGCTATGAACTCAGTGGCTGGCTCTTGGAAAACCTCCCCCTTTTTTTGGGTGGGGGCAGCCTTAACAGGCCTCAGAGGAAGACAGTGCAGACAGTCCTGATAAGACCTGATAGGCTAGGGTCAGAGGAAACAGGAGGAGAACCTCCCTTATCAGTGGACTAGGGGAAGGACATGGAAGAAGAGGGAGGGAGGGAGGGATCAAAAAGGGTTGAGGGAGGGAGCTACAGCTGGGATACAAAGTGAATAAATTGTAATTTTTAAAAAGGTGGAAAAAAGTTTAGCTAATCTTTTCACTACTCAAAATCTCTTGGACCAGGGGTCTTTACAGAGACTGATACTCCAGCAAAGGACAATTCATGGAGATAACCTAGAATCCTTGCACAGATATAGCCCATGGCAGCTCAGTCTCCAAGTGGGTTCCCTGATAATGGAAAAAGGGGCTGTCTCTGACATGAACTCAGTGGCTGCCTCTTTGATCAGCTCCCCTGAAGAGGGGGGCTGCTTTACCAGGCCACAGAGGAATACAATGTAGCCACTCCTGAGGAGACTTTATAGGCTAGGTTCAGATGGAAGGGGAGAAGGACCTCCCCTATCAGCGGACTTGGGGAGGAACATAAGAAGGGAGGGGGGGCTTGGGAGGGAATGAGGGAAGAGGCTACTGCTGGGATACAAAATTAATAAATTGTAATAAATTTTAAAAAGATATTAAAATTGAATTGGAAGATTAAAATTGTGTTGGTAGAGGTCAAGTGTGGGTTAGGATAATTGCTTAGAGTCCCTTGGATGCACACACATCAAGCCTTTTTAACCCTGTTTTAATATCTGTTTCAAGAGGCTTCTTGTGAGTATTCAGGAGGCAGGATGGGATTAAGAGGAATACTGGAGAATCTTGATCACTATTCAACACTGAGGGAGAGGGAAAGTGACTGCCACTTCAGAGAAGCCTTAAGTCCTGCCAAAAACCATTTCCTGAATTGTTAGCTTGAAGAACAAAACTTGATGTTTCTATGCAAAGAGAAACAATCTAGCTTCTTTTAAGACATATAAAGAATCCCTAAAGGTGTAGGAAAGGAAATAATAAGCTTTATACTATGAAGAAAGTAATAAAATCATTACAAGCATTCTTGCACTGACCAGGAAGAAATGCTTGCCAATAAAGTAGGGTGTGTACTCCATTCTAGAGTCACAAGAACTCTAAGACTGCCCGGGTCTGAATATTTCTAAGAATATACGCCAAGTATTAAAAAAAACACTCAGAAATATGGTTTAGGAGGAAGGAAGAAGAAAATGATGCATAAAGATTCTCTGAGAAAATAATGACTGAAGTCATACAACTTGGTTTAAAAATAAATAAGAATGGTTCATCAGTTGATTCCTGTGTTAAATAGTTTTATGTCAACTTGACACAAGCCAAAGTCATCTGAGAGGAGTATACCTTAATTACAAAAATGCCCTAAAGGCATACCAACAGGCCACTCTTATGTGATTGATAGTTGAATGGCCCAGCCCATTGTGGATGGTGCAGTCTCTGGGTTGGTGTTCTTATGCTATAAGGAAGCAGGCTGACCAAGCCATGAGGGGCAAGCCAGGAAGTACCACTCTTCCATGTTCTCTACATCAGCTCCTGCCTCCCAGACCTTCCTGTATTTGAGTTTCTTCAAAAATGGACTATAATGTAGAAGTACAAGCCAAATAAACTCCTTTATTTTCCTGAAGTCTTTTTACCTACTGTTTTTTTTTTATTACAATAGAAATGCTAAGGCAACACCAAACAATTTATAAAGCCTGTGGTATTCCAAAACAAATATAATAAGAATAGCACAAAAATTTAGTTTAACTGCGACTCAGTGAAGTCATCCATGACTGTGGATGGCAACATCTACAGTGGGTTACCCTCCTCCATCAATTAGAAGTAAGAAAACGCAGGAGCTCCACAAGGAGAGCAACAGAGCCAAAAAATCTGGGCAAGAGGGTCTTTTCTGAGACTGATACTCCAAACAAGGACCATGCATGGAGATAAGCTAGAACCCTGCACAGATGTAGCCCAAGGCAGCTCAGTGTCCAAGTGAGTACCTTAGTAAGGGGAGCAGGGGCTGTCTCTGACATGAACTGAAGTGGCCAGCTCTTTGATCACCAAACCCTGAGGTGGGGAGCAGCCTTATCAGGCCACAGAAGAAGAATATGCAGCCAGTCCTGATGAGACCTGATAGGCTTGGGTCAGAGGAAAGGGGAGGAGGACCTCCCCTATCAGTGTACTTGGGAAGAGGAATGAGAGGGGATGAGGGAGGGAGGGTGAAATAGGGAGGGGACAAAGGAGGGGGCTACAGCCAGGACACAAAGTGAATAAGCTGTAATTTATATAAAAAAAATACAATTTTAAAAAGTGCCGGAAAACCCAAACAATCTTTAAATTAAACAATGTATTTCTAGAGAGTTTGATTCATCAAAGCATAAAAACAATTAAAAATGTCTTAAGTCACATGAAAATTAAATATAACTTATTTTTCAAAACAACATGCAATTCAGATAATCCTTATATGAAAGCACACAGCATTAATTGTGTTTTAATTTGGAAAGGAGTATAGCTTCAAATCAATATTTAAAATTTTTAGTATATAAAATTTTATAAGAACAACAAACAAAAATGAAAGCAAGCAGTATGAAAAATACAGAAGAAAAAAAAACCAATGCCTTAAAAAAAAAAAAAAAAGAAAAACTAGTGAAGGATTAGTTCCAAGATGGCAGTGACCAGCATGCACCATATATGAGGGGCACAGGATCAGAAAATTGGAAATTGGTGAGCAGAGTGGCAGCTGAAACCAGAACAACTACATTGAGGCTTCCTGGGCTAGAGGGAACAACCAAGGAGGAGGGGCAGTTTGGATCCTGGTCACCTGTGGACATCTCTGGGAACTGAGAGTGGAAAATATTTAACCCCCTGCACTTCCCCTTTCTCAAAGCACAGGTTTCCTTGTTTGGCAGCCAGCAGTGGCCTCTGCCCCAAGAACTGAGACTGCAGTTATTACCCCAAGCACAAGCCTCCATGCTTAGTGACTGAAAAGGCACAGGTGGGATTCCTAGAGCTACTGCTGGGGCAGGGAAACAGCAAGTACAAGCAGGAGCCTCCTGGCACTCTGTGACGGAGGCTACAGATGCATACCTGCCCAGCAGACAAACAATCTGAGAGTAGAGAACACAGGATTCCTGTGCTTTCCAATTAGGCCTGAGACCAAGTGAGTACACCTTTAAGTGAGTGCTTACAGAGCCCCAGAACCAGGGTTCCTGGACAAGGAAAGGCTACCCATTCTCTCCATATCTCTTCAACATAGTACCTGAATTCCATGCTAGAGCAATAAGAGTACTAAAAGAGATCAAGGGAATACAAATCTATAATGAAGAAGTCAAAGTATCACTATTTGCAGATGATATGATAGTATACATGACTGACCCCAAAAATTCAACCAGAGAACCCTTTCAGCTGATAAACACCTTCAACAAAGTGCCTGGATACAAAATCAACTCGAAAAATTCAGAAGCCCTCCTGTATACCAAAGACAAAAGAGCCAAGAAAGAAATTAGGGAAACAACACTTTTCACAATAGCCCCTAATAACATATAGTACCTTGGTGTTACTCTAACCAAGCAAGTGAAAAACTTCAAGTCTCTGAAGAAAGAAATTGGAGAAGATATCAGAAGATGGAAAGATCTCCTGTGCTCATATGTCTGTAGGATTAACAAAGTGAAAATGACCATCTTGCCAAAAGCAATCTACAGCTTCAAAGCAAGTCTCATCAAAATACCAACACAATTCTTATAGACCTTGAAAGAACAATTCTCAATTTGATATGGAAAACAAAATCTCAGAAATGTTAAAACAACCCTTGCAACAACAGATCCTCTGTAGGTATC